GGTACTGTTGGCAGGACCACTTGTCCAACCAACGGTTGCACCATGAGACTGGCACAGGACCTGTTATCTGCACAATCTGTGGTCACTAACTCAGGCTTTATGGCCATCTAGCTCGCTTCTCACAGGATGATCCTGTCTGCCAGGTTGTCTCTGTATGAGACAGTCCTGGGTAGAGGAGGCCTGTGGGACGACCTAGGGAGTCATGGCTTAGGCAGATCGATCAAACCTGTCGTGAGGGGCTCGAGATAGGCCTAGTCCCTGCCTGGCGGCTTGCCATGAGGGAACCCCGAAGGTGGAAAGGAAGGGTGGACCCGGCATTGATGATTTCTTAATCTAACTCATGGAGCCAGTGTTTGATTAGTCTTGTGTTAGATTCAATATCGGGGCTAGTAAAACTTGCCGTGGGCGAGTAAGATATTAAATTTACTTGCTCAGTGGCCTAGTAAAAAAAAAGAAAAAAAGAAAAAAACAAAAAAACAACAAACGCAAAGGCCAGTATATATATGTGTGTGTGTGTACACAAATATATGTGAAAGATGGAATAATGCACTGGCCGCATTGATGTGAATGTATATAACCTCTCCGATCAGGATTCGATCCCTCGCTGCCGTTGCAAATGATTGGAAGATGATCCCTCTAACCATTCATACATGACCAACTAAAAGAAGTGTGCAACTAGGCACTATCTAGCATCCATAGATATTACCTAACTACTCATACCTGAGTAAGTATAGCAAAGTTTTACACACTCCCCGTGGACACTCGGTATGTATAGAAAGAGCAGATCAAATCCCAAATCAGATAACCTGAGGTGTATTCAATGAAAGATGGAATAATGCGCTGGCTGCATATACATTTATATACATATATATATATATATATATATATATATATATATATATATATATATATGTATATATATACATATATACATACATACATACATACATATATATGTCACATGAATTTTTCATATATTCCAATTCATCCTATTTGATTCTAATAAATTTTTGTAACGATATCATATTAGTGTGTTTTTAATATGCAAATTTTATTAAAAAGTAGGCCTATTACTGTATTTACTGTGCCGTTAAATCTTGTGGGTGGCGTAGCATAACGGTACTTAAAGCTCATGGGTGTGGGAATGAATTAATTCCTGTGTTAAGGGTGTGCCAAATATAACGGTCATAGAAACATCGTAAACCCTTAATATTTTATTCAATAAACAAAACACCATAAACAAGTGGCATATCATTATAGAAATCTTAGCAATAAATACAATAATTTAAATAAGTAATATTCTCAAATAATTCAATTCATATATAAAGTTAATTCTGTATACCCTCCCTTTTCCTACTAATTATGAATCAATGACATTTTAATAAACATAATAAAATACACATGAGACAGAATCGAGACCCTCACACCCAGTCTATCAACATGCCTTCCATGATTTTTCCTAGGACATAAGCCAATCATTTCCCTTCCTTTCATCTTTATAATTTTCCTCTCTTATCCTTCGTTCTAATAACTAATTCCATTCCCTATTTATTCATTGATGCCCCCCGGAACTGTCACCTGGGACTACTTCTGTTACTGAGTCCACGGACCACTAAAAAGAACGAAATAACTAATTTTTCCCTAGCAACAAGGCATTATGGCGTGTTCTTCTCGCCCCATGCTCCACCATTTCTCCTCTTTTACATGGAG